GATTTGAAAATACAGAGTTAGATGCAATATTTCTGCTTATGGAAGATTAGTTTCTTCAAGTAATAAAGTGTCCTAATATACTACCCTTGAAAAGATATCAGCAGAATAGGTGTGTTGTGAATGAACAATGCTATTTAAGAGCAAGATGGAGGAAAATAAGGAAATACGTGTGTTTGGGACACAGCATTGATATGCAGACCTTGAATTTGAATTGAATTTTTGACTCCTACTTTGTGCTTCTTACACACTTATTTTTTTAAGATCACTTGCTATTTAATGCAGTACAGATGTTTTGTGTATGTTGTATGATGCAATAGAAAGTGGAAAAACCCTGGGATCAGCTTATTTAGAAAGAAATATGTATCTTAAAAACAAGTCATTACAATTCACAGCATTACTTCTTTGTATACAGAAACAGTTGAAAAGAGAATCTGTTTTCATACCAAAAGCTAATGTCACATAAAAAATTAGTCTTGACACCTTTTTTAATAATAATTTTCCATTGCTTGCCATTAAGCAGTATTTTGACTAAAGGTATCATTATGGTTCAGTTTACAGTGGTTCACATAAGTTTCCTGAAGTGTTCTTGGAAAGTGCAAAAGGTAAGGAAGGCCTGGTCATTTTGGAGATATACTGATTCTTACTGTTGTAATAACTTATTTTGATGTCATTCAGTATCTAAAAGTGTCCTTTAACCAAAATGAATAAAGTTCTGTGTTGCAATTACTGTAATTTTAGCACCAATAGACTGCCTTGTTAGAACTAGTTACACAAAACAAAATTGACCTTTCAGGTGCAATACAATCAGGGATTTTTTTTTTTTTTGCAGTTATAATTCAGGTTGTTTACCTTGGGAAGGTTTAGCGTGGTATGTTCTAAGCAAAGGACTGCAAAAGAAGAGTGCTACTATGAGACACTATCATATTTTTTCTAGGAATTTTTTTTACTTTGCTTTTACATTTTTATGTAGTGCTGTCAATTTGAGGCAACAGAACGGAGTGAAAATAGATGGAGTTTCTGACAATTCTACGTGTACCACTTGTTTGACTTGTACTGTTGTGTAATCTGAGTGGCGTTTTTGTCTGCTATGTATGTTGCTGATATATATGATACACTAATGTCAGAATAAATTTTTAAACATTCTGCTAACATTTAATATACGCGTTTAATAAGATCCAAATCTAGCAAATAAAGTTGTGTTCTTTTTTCATGTGCTGTCAACTTGTGTGGGAAAATTCTAAGAACTGAGAGAGGAGCTGAAGTACTAAAAGTCAAATACCTGGAGCACCTCGTGGAAGAAAATATTCATACAGATTTCTGCAGCTCACAATGTATGTCATGTTCACAGAGATCCATTTTCAGCTTTCAGGCTGCTTTTCCCTGCCTTATCTGGGTACTGTTTTTATTCCTGCAATGCCAGGACCTGAGGTGACTTCTCAGGTTCTCAGGCACACACGCAGTGTTCACACACGTGCATTTTAAATGGCTTGGAGTAAATATACTGGAGAAGATGGCAGGGCTGAAGCTTTCCCATGGGACTGGACAAGTCTTACAATACGTATTTTAATCTTCCTTAAAAGTCTCTTTTTGGAGCAGTGAAGGGCTTTGGATAATCACAGGGAATCTGGCTTTGAGTTTCTGCCTTGCTCTCAAGAGATGTTTTTATCTCAGCATGTCACCTCTCCTGGTGTCACCTTGTCAGGATTCTGGGGACAGGGTCACCTGCCACACTTGGCAGGTCATTTCCTTTGTAACTTGGAAATTACAAACTAAGACACACGCCATTTAAGCAAATTAAAGAAAAGCATAAGATGAATAAAAGCATCGTCTCTAAAAAAGGAGAGAAAAAAGATACCAAAACAAGCAAGGAGTAATTACATATTATGGTACCACTACTGTGCTCACTACTCAGGTGAGATAGGGTACTTAATTAAGTATGAAAATGAAAAAAAAAAAACATTAGAGGTAGAAGAAATTGGTAGCAAAAGAAAGAGAGGAGGGGAAAAAAAAAGATGAAGGAAGGTGCTGTTGATATGCAGGATATAGGGGACATTTATATTAAGTTGTGAGTTTTCAGGTGCATTCAAGTTTTGCTGTTGGAGGTTAAACTTTGCCTCCACCAAAGCCTGTAGTGAATTTAAATTTAAACTGGGGGAACAATGTCAGCCAAAGCCAAGTATATTTTATAAAAAAGAGTAGCATGGTAGCTTGTGAGAAAACATTTGCAAATTCTTGTACAAACCTGGCTCTACACATTATTAGAAAGAGTAGCTACCCTTCAAAAGTCTTAATTCCTTCTTTAAACTTGTGCACCACAATGCAGTGGTTCTACTTTCTGAATTAGAAGAAAGGGTAAGGCATCTATATAAATCTATCCAGCTTAGAGAGTATTTCTAAAAAATCAGTCCAAGTTTATTCTATACAAAGAAAAAAAAAATACAGGGAGCACTGAAATAGAAGACATTTTTCCAACATTTGCATGTCAAATGGTGTAAAATATGTTGTCTTACAGGAGAAGAAAATTAAGTAACCCATTCCATTATCAGTGGATTATTGGGAAAGAACAGCAAGATGTGGGAGAAACAGTATGCCAGCATCTGAAGTCTGCAATCTGAGATGTGTAGGCTGAGAAAAAAAAATAAAATCTTGTCTAATATTCCTCAAAATGTTCAAAATTAATTAAACAGTGTTTCTGAAAATGCTGTCTTAAATGTTTAGGACACACTGCTGGGAGGCACAGAGGAGGGGTCAGGGGTCCTGACATCTGGTGTGGAGAAATTGTATCCAGAGAGGTTAAGGGAGCCCTCACAAAGGACTTCTTTTAAAAACCTCCCTTCCCTAAACAGATGGAAAGAAGCAAAGGGGGGAAAAGGAGGATCATTGCCATATGAAGGGTAACACAATTATTTCCAGACTCTATGAATTACTGTGTAACCTCATTAAGCCACAGCCACTTTTTGTTGTCTGTCTGCCTTCTTAGGGGTGGTCATAACAATTCTTGCCTTGGCGTCCTTAAAAAGGAGCAGCTAAATTAAATCTCATTCTGGTTTTAAATAATCATTGTCTTAACACAACGTTTACATCATTCAGATGCAACTCAGGAAGGGTTTTTTTTAAGCAAGTACTGAGAAATCTGCTGGGAGATGATGAGTAGGATGTGAAATTCAGCAGCCATATCAGTTTTTGGAAGGTGCATACGCACATTACCCTGCAATAATTAGTGACTATGCTTTCTCAGCCAGAAATGAGTCAGTCTGAACTATTTGAAAAGGGTAGGAATTTTTTTTTAATTACTCTTTTTGACTCTTCAACAAACCCTTGCTGTTGGCTTGTCAGAAACATTTGTATTTAAATCACTGGCTGACCTTGCATGGCCCTTGGGTGTTCAACGCATCCAACACTGTTCAGCATTTCAGTTTTGGTGCTGAAGGATGCAGAGGCCATTGTTACTGCTGCTGTCATCGGGAGGCATTAAATAAATGAGCCTTGTTGTTATGTTGGCCCCTCCTCAACCACAGTCTGTTTGGAACACTTGAAGGTGTGGGTCTGTGTGGCCCCACCATCCCCAGCAATGAAAAGCTGCAGGGGTGGAAAAGCTCTGGCTCAGATGCTCCTAGATCCCTGCATCTCCTGCTGGCAGCTTTTACTCATTTTTCTCAGCTGGTGCTTGGTGAAATGTGATATACAGAGTGCTGGGGTGTTCCAGGACTGCGTGTTCAATAGCTCTTTCAATGTGTTTTCAGAAAGGAAGAGAAGGACTCCAGGCAGAAGGTTTTAGCAGGGAAAACTGGTAGGAAGGCCGGATTCCCTGCCATGGTACGTCTTCACAACAGACAATTTTGCTGTCAGGTTGTCTCAAACAAACATTTCTGCTGATAGTAGCCCATTACCAGCACTAGCAAACAGCAATGCTGCAGGTAAGCCTGTTCTCTGGTGGTGGCATCTATGTATTATTCTTCAGCTAAAATTGTCTCCATCTCTTCCAATATAAAGTGTACTATTATTTTCAGATGTGGCCAAGATTTCAACATCTCTGTAAGAAAGATCCAGGTGAAAAACCAAACAGATGAAATAGGTAGGTCAAGAGATTTATACATAGCTCACCATGTCATAGCAATCTGTTAACTTTAAGGTATTCTTTCAGCGAAGAAGGATTAATGAGGATCATTTTGAAATCTATTTGACATGCTGGAGAGTACAGGGCAGCTTTTGAAAGACAAGCAATCAATTTATGAAGCCTTTTGGAGAACACTACACAGGGTACAAGACATGAGTGAAGGAAAGGTGGGAAAATCTGTGCTGGGTGAAGCCCTTGGGTGTAATGCCAACCTGCTGCCAAAGCAGCTCTCGGTGGTCTGTGATGTGTCCTGGTGATGGAGCACACACTGATCAGAGAGGGATTGATATTCTTGTCATAAATGGAAAGAAAGGAGCATCCTGCCAAGGGAATTTGTCTGTGAAAGCAGGAGTGGCTCAGTAACATGAGACTGATTTAACACATGGATTCAGTGTTTATTTATTCCTCCGGGGAAAGGTGTTTTCATCAACCAGTGAGGCCTCAGAGTAAAAAAGGATTTGGAAGTGAAGAGGATATGACTGACAGAATGTGGTTTTTGGGATTACTTGCTTTCCAGTCATTCAGTTTGGGGATATGTATTTATTTCAGAGCTTTGATTATTATATAATTACTCCTAACAGAAAACCAAAAAATATCAAGCCTGTTGCTGTAAAGGCACTAAATCTAGCCTTTGTAATGCTTCTGATATGTTCAGCACATCAGAAGCCAGAACATATCCACAAAAAAAAAAAGGGAATATATAACATCATGGTAGGTGTGAATTGTGGATGAATTGGCAGTCTCAGACCAATTACTAGACACATCAAAACAAAACAAAACTAGGGAAAACTAGTATCTAAAACTCAGTCTATCATGATAAGGAGGAAAAAAAAATTATGTGTGAAAAAAAAACATTCGAATAACTGTAATAAAATTTGGGTCCTTTTTTCTGAAATAGCAACAGTGATTTTATTGGAATTATGTACAAAGTAAGACATACAGTGTGGAAATACAGGAAAATATTAAGTGAGAGAACAAGAAAACAGACAATTAAATTTAGCAACTTAAGTGTTGCAGACGTTAATTACCTGGCTGCAGCCCTGGGGTGTGAACTCAGGATATCTGACAAACAGCAACAAAACTGTGCTTGCAACCTCCCTTTTCTTACATATTTATTCACATCTCAGATCTTTGCTTGGCTTTAGCATGATGGACATTTTTCATGGATAAAGCAGGCTTAATATTTAAGAAACACCTCAACAGGGCTTCAGAACAAACAAATGGTAAGACAGTTTTTTGAGAAAATGGCATTACTTCTGAAAGGAGAGCATAGAGGATGTGAAAATTCTATGGAATCTTTCTCAGCTGGTAGAATGCCATGGGCACATTTAAATTAGTTCCATACAGATGGGCAGATCCTGCATTCCTTTCTGGATATTATTCAGGGATATGCCTCTTGCTCTACTAGGTAGGAACACAGTCCAAGCAGAGACTTTGGCATTTGTCTCTTTCCTCCTTCCAGCTGTTCTTTTTCTAATAGATTGAGAAGTTTCTGTGGCACTAAAACAGAATAAATAGCATTGTCTCGTAAGAGCTTTCCAGCTGCACTTTGGTGTTTGGCTTTGGCAAACAGAGAGGGATCCCCAGATCACACCAGGGCACACAGAGGCAGCTCTGCTCGCTGCTCACAGCACGCAGGGACAGCACAGGGCCGCTGTCATCACCCCTCCAGCTCTGCCAAGAATCACCTGGAATCATCAGCCATAATTCTATAAAAGTCCATAGTGAAGGCCCAGCAGATCTCAACCATTAAGATGAGGGCTGTTGGAAAGAAAACCAAAATTCAGGATAAAAACGCCAGCTTAAGAGACAGACAAGGAAACCTTGGCCTGGTAAGGGACAAAGGTTCAGCACAATTCTCTTGGACTCTTTGAACTTCCAAGTCTTGCAAACAGGGCACAGAACAGGTAATTAAAATTCACCTCCCCCACAAAAGAAACACTGGAATAGCTAAAAATGTCTAAACTGGTCACACAGAGACTGAGTCACACAAAATCAGCAGACTTTCTCCAGGGGAATCAGTTAGTTGATCTACCAGATCTCTGATGATTTATTTATAACAAACAATAAGAAAAAATAGATGTAAAATATTTACACTTAAACACCACATTATGAAATGAAATGCATATGAAATCTGAGCTCAATGCTGACATTTAGAAAAGGTGTCTGAATAAGGAACTTGATATTTTTAGTTCCATTTAGAGACCACAGGTATTTTTAAATGTATAGGTTGAGTGCTGTGGCCTGAAGTAATCTATCTGTATGACATCCTGATCTTCCCCCCTCCCCTGTGGAACACAGTGCAACCACCACTGAGGTCATTGGCAGTGTCCTCTTAATTTATGTGCTGCTCTAATATTTAGGGGGGAGAAGGAACATCTTAAGTATTTCACACATCAACAAGAGTAGCATTTCTGTCTTTTCATTCCCTTAAAATCTTTTACAGTCTTTGGTTTTCCTTTGCAAGAACAAGAACACTTGGATGTTTCTACCTTCAAACCCATGGCCATGTTCTCCAAAGGAGGTATCCAGCCCTTCTGAAGTGTTTATGAAAGAGGTAAGACCTTGTGGCTTAGAGAAGACTCACACATTGCCTCAGAGACTCAGATGGATTCATTAACAGCTGGACTCAATTACCTTAGAGGCCTTTTCCAACCTTTATGATTCTATGTTTCTGTGCTCACAGAACAAGCAATAGCTGATTTTATATTATATTTAATATATAATTTTAATATATATTTTTATTTTATATATAATATATATTTATATATTATATATTTTTATATTTAATATTTAATTTTATATTTTATATTATCTTTAATATGTCAACACATGGACACTATATCTAAATCCTCAAAATTTTGTATTGTACAATGATGGGAGTATTCTTCTTAAAGTATCAGTCGCTTGAAGACATGCTAGCAGTGTTAATGTGGGTTAGTGTTATCTAATGCAGATGCAAATGTATGACATAAGAAATCTGCAGCAATTTCACATTCTCCTATTTTGGATCCATATTGGAGACAATGCTTTTATGCTAATTCCAAGAAAGTTCAAGAGAATTACATTCAGTCTTGAATTCATGCAATGGTTGTCAGCTTGTCAAGAAATGAAGCCAAAGAAGAAAATATGGGATGAATAAAAGTCTCCCTCAGATTTCTTTCTTGGGAAAGCATGACAATTACATTCTACAGACTCCACTAACCCCAAACATCAGCTAAACACATACCTCCTTCTTATTTACTTTTTGCTGCAATGAGCTCTACTCATTATCTCAATATCCTTCTACAGAGGAAAGTTATGGCTCAGCACATGAAAATACACTATTGTCAACTAGAAAATTATTTTTGTGGATATATGTTGTGAATGCAGGCAAACCTGATGGAAAGGGATGGTGGTGTCTGACTCAATTCAGAAGGCTGAATGATTTCTTTATTATAATTGTGTTAAAATACTACATGAAGGAAGGTACCAAAAACCACAAACTTGTTCTAACTCTATTTCTAACCCAACTCGTGCCCCTCTCTGAGAGCCCAGCCCCAGGTGGGTTGGATTGGCCATCAGCTCAAACAATCCTCACCTGAATCCAATCAAGCAATCACCCCAGGTAAGCAATTCTCCAAACACATTCCACATGGGGAAAACAAGGAGCAGAAACAGAAATTGTTCTCTCTTTCATTTCTCTCTGTGCACCTCTATGAAAATCCTTGAGAGAGAGGGAAATGTTCTTGCCACAGGTATGGATTCTAATATGTATGTCTTTCTCCTTTGGAAAATAATCTACAGTCTTCCTACACAGTATTTACTGTATTTTGTGTTAGTCTATTGAAAAATCAATATTTATCATAAATAAGAATGACCCAAAAAAAAAAAAAAAATGGAGGTACATTAAAGCTGAGTGACAAATTTGAGTTGTAATATCAGTCTCAGACCCACAAGGCAGTCCAGAACCTGCTCTGCCACCTCAGACATCAGTTTGCTGTTGTGCTAAGTACAATTATTTTCCAAATATCTGTTATGAGTTTTCTTGGGTTGTTTTCCCCCACCAGGAAGTTTCCTGATCAAGTGATGTATCTGATGCTACTTTTGGTATCTCTTTAAGTATTCTAGCAAATGAAAGCATATAGTAGATTTGAGCCCTGTTCAGATCAGTGCAACTTGTGACCTGAGTCAATGGAAATTCCTCCCCAAATTTTCCTTAGTACATTTTAAAATGATGCTAAGAGTCAACAGAAAATAAAGGGCTACTCCAGCCTTATAAAATCTGCTTCTGGTTTTTTAATTTCTTGCAGTAAAAAGCCACCACAATACAGTCTTCAATGTCTACATTTCTCACAAGGTTTCTCATGCAGTGAGAAGAGACCTGACCAAGACCAAACTGACCCTTGCATAAAAGTATTTTCTAAGCTGTTAAACAACCCAGTGATGGCTATCCTGGAATAAAAATGTAATGGCAGATTAAGGATATTAATCATCATAGTAATAAATGGTAGGATAATGTGCTGCAATCACAAATCCTTGGCTAAATTTTGTTATGGGTGATTGCATCCCACTCACCAAGTGTTGCAGAGCTGCCTTGGGTACTGAGAGAACTGTTGTGTGCCTGAGCCCCAGAGGTAGGAGCATTCCTGCCTGTGGAACATGACAGATGGCTTCAGTCCTTTGGGATCCTCTGCATGTACCTCACGGAGCAGTACTGGAATTCAGAGGAACAGATGTTCCTGTAATATGTGGGAAGAATATAAGCATCTCCATTTACTTTTAAGATAAATGTATTAAATGCTGTTAAATTTCTCCACAGAAATTTCTCCAGAAAAAAAAAAAAAAAAAAAAAAAGAAAAAGAAAAGTAATATCACTGCTTTCATGATTTAAAAGGCATTTGCTGTTGGGTGGATTTTTATTCGTTTGTTGGGGTGTTTTTAACAATCTATCTGCTGATACTAAAAATGAACTAGATTTTAGACAGGAAAGGCAGGATGGAGGAAATAAATTAATCTTTCTGTAACAGAGCAGAAAAATTTCCAGCCATGGAGTAGTCCTATATAGTAACTGCAAATCATCTTGTGATTTTATTTTCACAGTGAAATCTGCAACACCAATAGAACATAAAAATTGACTGCAATTCTAGTAATTTACCTAGTCCTTTTACCACTAGAGGGCTGAAGGAACAGCTTCAACAGCTAGATTCTGATAATTAGGCACTATTAGAATGAAGACTAAGAATTTACGTGCTTAGGAACAAGATATTCCTAAATTTAAAAAAAAAAAAAAACAAAAAACAAAAAAAACAAACAAAAACAAACAAAACCCTGGAGTTTGTAGAATCTCTTTAGAATATTTCATCCTCTATGTTAGTGCAGTGACCCCTGAGCAAATTACCTCCAGTTTGGTTTAAAACTAGAAACTGCTCTGAAAAATGCGTGAAACTCCTGCACTCCACCACGTTTCATTTCTTGTGGCCATTAGGCTGCTGGCAAAGCAATGCCAGAACATTCTGAATAAGGGCATCTGAAAGAGCAGCCCAATTTGCAGGCACTAAGCTGCCAAATGCCAAACTCAGCTGAAGCAGTGGAAAAGCCACTTTGCTTGACAAAGTCCCCAGCCACCTTCATGTTGCCTCTGTGGCCAGATTCCTGCGAGGATTTTCTGTTTGTCCCTGTGATGGTGGCCTGAAGCTCCAGATTTTTATTTCAAAAATGCACAATCTGGTTGAGAAGGACCATGTGAGTGTGTGAGTTCTGCCCAGACAATTCCATTCTTTAGCATTTTTCAGCCCAGGCGTAGTATAGGCACAGCCCATTTCATAAAATAGAGGTTTAGACACTGCTGGATGGGCCTCCAAAAGGCAAAATTATCTATGAAGTGTTGTCAACCCAACTGCACGTAGTTTTAACTTCGATTTAGGAATCTTTACAGCTTGGCATGCAAAATTCAGCATAGACACATCTTTAATATGTCAGCACATGGGCACTACATCTAAATCCTCACAATGATGTATTCTGCATTTTTTCAAGGGGTTTGTCCAGCAGTGAATTATCGTGGCTCAGGAGAATCAGACAAAAGCCCACCAAAGCTGTTCAGGAAGTGATCCTTGCAAATTTTTTGGGAGAATGAGAAAATTCCTGATTTAAAACAATATTTTTGACACATTTTTCTGCCTCTTAAGATTTGGCACAAGATTTTATTTCAGTCTCTTAATGATAGAATTTCTTTCAATAAACAGCTTACTTTAAAAAGAGTTTAGAAAGCTCTTGCTTCTTCCAGAAAACCTTCTTTCTGGTGGCCTGGCAAGCATGATGATTATTTTGGCATTGCTGTGTGATTTTGCAGCTCCATAGTCCCAAAGTTGGTAAAAAAATCACTTTTTACCTTACCTTTGTCACCTGTTCTTCAGGTGACATCAAATTCCATTGGATTTAGTGGACAGCTACCATAAACAGGAGTAATAATTAGATCATAATTCATATTATTGAGGCATGTTTATGCTATCCTCCGTGACAGAAGTCTGTATAGGGGGTTTAATGGCATAACTAAGATTTTGAGCACATGATTTTTTTCCTGAAGATAACACTGTATTATTAAGAGCAGTATTTTCTCACCTTTCTGTAAACAGGAATAACAAAACATCTTAGACCTTGTATGTATGATTACATGAAGTTAAAGTAACACATCTTTTCTTTTTCAAAATGGATCATAAAATATGTGTCCCTTTATAAATTCTGATTGCATGACACTTGAGAAAGTTCATTTTGCAGTGAATCAACAGCAAAGGTAAGGTCAAAAATAGTATTTAAATAATTTTAAATTTTAAAAAATTATTTTCAAATGACTGGTAGTTGAAAATTTTAACTTACTGTGTAGTTATGCTTAAGAAGCTGAGAAGGCTGTACAAGTTTTGTATAAGTAATAAGATTAGCTGCCTACTGCTCTCATGTGAAGCCAAACCAGCTGAGATTGATCCAGACGTGACTCAGTAATATCTGGATGTATCATATGATGGACAAAAAATTTCTATTTCAGATAGCCACAGCAGCAGAGCCTAGTCACTATAGGATGTTACTGTATCAGGGCTGCTTGCTATTTTACACATTTTATGCAATTAAGGACTATCTAATCCTCCTCTACTAAGAGAAACAAACAGGAATGTGCCATCTGGACTTTTCTTCTCCATTTTGGTGTGATATGATAAATTATTTATCTTTCCCAAATCAATCATCATTTATTTATTAAATGCTATTATTTTGCTAATAATTATTGCTGCTACTTAGTAGCCATAGCATCGAAGGCATGCCAGTGCTGAGCTTTCAGAAAAAAGGGCCAGAGCTCCTTGCACAGCATAAATAAACAAAGCACCCTTGCCCAGCAGGCTTTACAGCCTCAAATTCCAGCTCAGAAAAGGACTCGGTAGCTTTCTGCAAGGCTTGAATTACAGAATCCAATCCCGTTTAATGCATCCCTGCAAAACAATATTCTGTTCCTGCTGCCTCTCAGGAAAATCTATGAATATGGGTTTCCTTTGAGCATCTGCAATGGCACAGTGGAGCCACGATGCCCCGGGAAGATGTGCTTATGTAACCGTGCAGCTTTTCCTCTCCTGGGAAAAACCTTCCAGGTTTTGACAATGCTGCAAACCACATCCAATAGCTACCGTGGTGTAGACATCAGGGCTGTGTTCTGCTAATTAGCAACATTTCAACTTCATATGCTTTATTTGTAATTTATTTTCTATTCTAGTACTTTGTAGTTCTTTTACACTCTTGAAAGGAATTGTTGAAATCCTACGTGGACCGGCCATTATGGGAATTTCAATATTAAAATAATTGGTCGTGTATAAATGTGCTTTGGCGCTGTAAAACTTCATTAACCCTCCAGCAGAGGGCAACATCTGAAAGAAGTATTTCTATAAACCCAAAGAGCAGTTCCTTTGAGGATATTGCAACTACATCATCTATTATATCAGGGAATTTCCTTTGAAAATGCAGTTTGGATTTAGTTACCCACTGGGCAAGTGAAGGAGCTTAATAATAATAAAAAGAATTGTTTAAAACAGAAATTTACTTTTTTAAAGTAGCACATTAGAGAAACTTTAAAATTAAAATGAAATAAGAGAAATATAATGGCGGTGGCTTAGAAATACCAGTTTTTGCATCTTCCATTTTCTTCAAAGAGATGAAAGTTTCTTATTATTCGATTCTGAAAGGAAAAATAATTCTCTTCAGAATATGCTCAGTTCATTCCAGTGCTGTAAACACCACAACTCCAGATTAGGCATTACAGTGGCCTACTCAGAGGCAGGAAAACAGACAGCCAAAAGGGAGGTGGAGTATATGGAACGCTTCAGAGAAAGCAGTCCCTGATGGATTCCTAACATGATCTAAAATAAGCTGCATGAGTAAACGTGGATACAGCTGTAAAGATACCTACATAAACCTGTATGTGTACACCTATATAAACCTGTATGTATACACCTATATAAACCTGTATGTGTATACCTATATAAACCTGTATGTGTACACCTATATAAACCTGTATGTGTATACCTATATACACCTGTCTGTACATACCTATATAAACCTTTATGTGTATACCTGTTTACACCTGTCTGTATATACTTATATAAACCTGTATGTACATACCTATATAAACCTGTATGTGTACACCTATATAAACCTGTATGTATACACCTGTATAAACCTGTATGTATACACCTATATAAACCTGTATGTGTATACCTATATACACCTGTCTGTACATACCTATATACACCTGTCTGTACATACCTATATAAACCTGTATGTGTATACCTATATACACCTGTCTGTATATACTTATATAAACCTGTATGTACATACCTATATAAACCTGTCTGTACATACCTATATAAACCTGTATGTGTATACCTATATAAACCTGTATGTGTACACCTATATAAACCTGTATGTGTATACCTATATAAACCTGTATGTGTATACCTATATACACCTGTATATGTATACTTACATAAACCTGTATGTATACGCCTATATAAATCTGTATGTCTATACCTATTTACACCTGTCTGTATATACTTATATAAAAATGTATGTACATACCTATATAAACCTGTATGTGTATACCTATATAAACCTGTATGTGTATACCTATATACACCTGTCTGTACATACCTATATAAACCTTTATGTGTATACCTGTTTACACCTGTCTGTATATACTTATATAAACCTGTATGTGTATACCTATATAAACCTGTATGTGTATACCTATATAAACCTACATCTATATACCGATATAAACCTGTATGTGTATACCTATATAAACCTACATCTATATACCGATATAAACCTGTATGTGTATACCTATATAAACCTACATCTATATACCTATATACACCTGTATCTATACATCTATATAAACCTGTATGTACATACCTATATAAACCTACATCTATATACCGACATAAAGCTGTATCTCTATACCTATATAAACCTACATCTATATACCTATATAAACCTGTATCTATAAATCTATATAAACCTACATCTATATACAGATATAAACCTGTATCTCTATACCTATATAAACCTACATCTATATACAGATATAAACCTGTATCTCTATACCTATATAAACCTACATCTATATACAGATATAAACCTGTATCTCTATACCTATATAAACCTACATCTATATACCGATATAAACCCCTATCTCTATACCTATATAAACCTACATCTATATACCCATATATATAAACCTGTACCTATATAATCCGCTTCGCCAGGAGCAGGATGGCTGCCCCGGGGCCGCGTTCTCTGCGCCGGGAGCATCACTGCCCGTCCGGGGCGCGGCGCTGCCCGCGGTGCTGAAAGGGTTTGAACGGCACAACTGAGATTTTCAGCGCATCGGGATTAATTTTCCCCTGAAGATGCGTTATTGAGAGCAGCATCTTGCCAGCTTTCTGTAAACAGGAACACCGGGGTGGCTGAGACTGTGTTTGTGTGTGGTGGTACAGGCTCGGGCAGCGGGCAGCGCTGCCAGGGAGGGAAGGAGGCAGGGAGGGAAGGAGGCAGGGAGGGAAGGAGGAGAGCACGGCGGGTTCGGCCGCGGCTCCGGGACTCGGCAGCGCTGCCCAGGGCGGCGAGCGCAGCCCGGGGCCGCCGCCGGGACACCGGAGCCGGCGCTGCCTCCGGCCAGACCCCGAGCCGGGCACGGCACTGCCCGGTGCCCCGAGCCCCGGCGGGAGCGGGGAGGAGAGATCCTGCAGGGAGCAGAGCTCCTGCCCGTGCCCGGTGCCCCGAGCCCCGGCGGGAGCGGGGAGGAGAGATCCTGACCCTGCCCGGTGCCGCCGAGCCCCGGCAGGAGTGCGGGGAGGAGAGCTCCTGCCCGTGCCCAGCGCAGGGAGCAGAGCTCCTGCCCGTGCCCAGCGCAGGGAGCAGAGCTCCTGCCCGTGCCCAGCGCAGGGAGCAGAGCTCCTGCCCGTGCCCAGCGCAGGGAGCAGAGCTCCTGCCTGTGCCCAGCGCAGGGAGCAGAGCTCCTCTCCGTGCCCGGAGCAGGGAGCAGAGCTCCTGCCCGTGCCCAGCGCAGGGAGCAGAGCTCCTGCAGGTAGCAGAGCTCCTGGCGGTGCCCAGCACAGGGAGCAGAGCTCCTGCCCGTGCCCATCACAAGGATCAGAGCTCCTGGCCGTGCCCAGCACAAGGAGCAGAGCTCCTGCCCGTGCCCATCACACGGAGCAGAGCTCCTGGCGGTGCCCAGCACAGGGAGCAGAGCTCCTGACCGTGCCCGGCACAAGGATCAGAGCTCCTCTCCGTGCCCATCACACGGAGCAGAGCTCCTGCCCTTGCCCCGCGCCCCCGCAGCCGTGCCCGCCCGCACCGCGCCCCTCTCGCTGCGCACACAGGCGCGCTCCCGGCCTCGCCCCCCGGCTCCGCGCGTCCCCACCTCGCTCTCTCCCTCTCTCTCTCACACACACGCGCACTCTCCCTCTCGCTCTCCCTTCAGCCGCAGGTGAACCGGCAGCCACCGAATGAGGACGAAAAGTTAGGGGATTACAGCAATATGAACCATCGTCGCTCGTAGCGGTGCCCTACCCAGAGCAGAGCGCTATCCAGCCAGCATCCCCAGAGGAATGGAGTCGGTAAAACAAAGGATTTTGACTCCCGGCAAGGAGGGATTGAAGAATTTTGCTGGAAAATCGCTCGGTCAGCTCTACAGGTAAGAGCGGTATCTCTTACAGGATTCTGGTTCCCGGGAAAATATGGGAGCTGTTCCTAGGCTTGGAGGGCGAAGCCCTGGGGGCTGGCGGGGCTGGAGCTGTGGCCATTCTGCTGGATAGGATCTGGCTCCTGGAAACCAGAGTGGAGCTGCTCAATATGGCACCCTGGCAACTTCCCGCTCTGGCTCGTACATGGTGTAGTACGGATGCAGCAAAAGATTTCCTCACCTTTCTTCTGCAAAAACAGGATCCCGTCTTGAAATCCTAACCAGGAGAGAGCAGCGACCTGTATTTTTGTTCCATCTTAATTTCCCAATGCACTCACAGGATCTTGCCCTCTGCCCTTAACAAATAATTTTTTAAAAATCTGGTTTTGATTAGTTTTGTCCTTTCTGTAATTCGTCGTCAGATGGAGGTAAACATGGAGATGTATAAATAATTGATATCCGAACGATTTTTTTTTTCTCCTGAAGCTGAAACATATAGAGGAATGTGTTTAATTATTTATACATCTGCCTTTAGAAGCATCTGCTTGTCCTATAAATGATATACAGCTGCAATCGCTAAACTCAAAAGCATTACTCTTGTCTATTTATGTGTGCGAAAACCATTTCTATCGTCATCGAGCCCTGTGCACACAGATAAATAAACCCAGATTCTTGCATACCTATGAAGAGCATGCACTAAAGTTCACACATTGCTCTCCATCCAATCTGCTGACTTTAGTGACCTGCAAAGCGTTTGAGAATAGTCTGTGAAATTCCAGTAATTTTCGATTGTGCCGTCTGCTAGAAATTATTCTGAAATATTTGGTTTGGCTTGGGGTATTTTAATTTGGTTTGGTTTTTGGTTGTTTGTGTGTGGTGTTTTTTTTTTTTTTGGTGTTTTTTTTGGTGGTTTTTTGTTTGGGGTGTTTTTTTTTGTTGTTTATTTTTTGTTCGTTGGTTTTCTGGTTTTGGTTGGGTTTTTGTTGGTTTTTTTTTTTTTTCCTCGAATTGCAGCTATAAGGTAACTGCGGATTTGTCTGCCCAGGGTAGGTCACGTAAAAATCTTTTTTCCATACCTATGCGGCAGTGCTGGGCACAGACACCAAGCTGTTTCACAGCATGAGTCACAACTTCTGCTGCCATTTTAAGGGAAGGGGACATATCAGTGAAGTGATATAGACAAAATTAAGGCTTCCATTTTCATAGGAAGTGTACCATTAAGAAAAGCCAAAAGCAAAGTTAAAGTCATCAACAATGAAATTTATTTCCTACGGTTTTTGATTATATTTAAGTCATTTTCAATAGCTGAAAATTAATAATAATAATAAATGATAATCCAGAATAACTGCTTAAAACGTAATTTAGGAAATACACCTTTTTTTTCGTTCTTAAAGACTTTACAACGTTTAAATAAAACTATTATCCCTACTACTTGTAGTCACACAGTGAATAATGGAGAAACGGTGTTTGTATTTTCCAGCAAAACTCCGTTTGAATTCACACCTCGACTCACAACCGGGCGATTTGCTAATCTTTTTCAGCTCACGGCAATTAAGTACTTTGTTTACTTTTCTTAGAATCTAAACCATTTTCTTGCCTCTTACACATTGATTTCCAGTCTATTTCCGAAGACAAGACGCCCATTCAGGGAGAAAACACTCCTACCCTTATCTGCACGAACGAATTTTGAACATAAACCCAGAGTGTTTTATTTTATTCACAACTTAAACACATTTCTTAACGCCGCGATCTTTAAGCGTGGAAATAATGCGTCCAGAAAAGAAAAATCAGGAGAATTTCAGCTGAGTGGTTTTTGGAGAAAATCCCTGTACTTTCTCCCGGACACGGATAACCTTTTTAGCCTTATTCTGAGCTAATTGTTAGTGCCCTATCAGCCGGATGAGTTAACCTGAAAGAGATGCTCCTCCGAGTGAGAAAACACTAATACAGCAGAGCTGAGAGGTAGTGTGCTTGTAGAGTCCAGTGTCGGCAAATGCTCACGTATTTGCTTTTCAAGACGGCAAAATTGGTTAGCTTTTCTGCTTTTTAAATATTTATTTCAGAAGAAGATTTAGGGATTCAGTATGGGGCACTTGCTCTATAAACCTGATTTTTCTTGCTACCGACAGAGCATTTAAAAAGGTTTTTTAAAAAAAATCTGAATGTTCTAAATCACCTTTCGTGGTATTTTCCAGCTGATTAGAAACAGCTGCAAACAATCCTTTCCCTTGTGCTTTAGGAGGGAGGATTTTCAGGTAAAACCAAGGGAGTGAGGGCAAGGGGATGGTTCTTAAAGGTTGTGCTTTAGGAGGCAGGATTTTCAGGTAAAACCGAGGGGGTGAGGGCAAGGGGATGGTTCTTGAAGGTTGTGCTTTAGGAGGCAGGATTTTCAGGTAAAACCGAGGCAGTGAGGGCAAGGGGATGGTTCTTAAAGGTTGTGCTTTAGGAGGCAGGATTTTCAGGTAAAACAGAGGGGGTGAGGGCAAGGACATGGTATTTAAAGGTTGTGCTTTAGGAGGGAGGATTTTCAGGTAAAACCGAGGGAGTGAGGGCAAGGACATGGTAACTAAAGGTTGTGCTTTATGAGGGAGGATTTTCAGGTAAAACAGAGGGAGTGAGGGCAAGGAGATGGTTTTAAAGCTGCTCTGGGGAGGGTAAAGCTGCTGAGAGGTCACACTAGCGTGCAGCTGAGCACCGAGACCTTTGGGGAAGCCTTCTCCGGTGATGCCACATGTTTTCTTTCACTGCAGGTGACAGCCATTTTGCAAATCTAAAATAAATAGCAATATCGCCCTCTCCTCCTCGCTCCTCCCTCCCGTCTTTCTCTCTTAACATTTCTTTTGTTCCCAGACCCGCAGCGAGGTGCAGCCCGAGATCACTCCCTTGGTGTTTCTAGCACAGCAAGGAGGTGATAAAACTCCAGAAACCCGTTTTTCTCTATTTCTGCGCCCCTTGGGCTGCCAACATGGCGCCTCTGCAGTGCTTCCAGATGATGTCTTCTTGCTGCGTCCTACATATTTAAGCAGAAGTCTTTAATGATAGATGAGCAATTCCCAGCCAGAGCTCCTCCCTGGGCTGTGCGGGAGGAGCTGGGGATGACTAATCCTGATCCCACAGGTCATTGCTAAGGAACAGCTGAAGGTGAATGGGAAGCGAGGAATAAACCCTCAAATCAATCTCCGAGCCAAGGGAGCGGTGAATTTAAACCTCCGGCTCCCCGAAGCTGGTGTGCCTGCAGGCGGCCAGGCCTTGACGTTCTGTTCTTGTGTCGGGCAGAGTCCTCGAGAAGAGGCAGAAGCCCGGGGACACCATCGAGCTGACCGAAGATGGAAAGCCCATGGAAGTGCCCGAAAAGAAAGCCCCGCTGTGCGACTGCACCTGCTTCGGGCTGCCCCGGCGGTATATCATCGCCATCATGAGCGGACTGGGATTCTGCATTTCCTTCGGCATCCGATGTAACCTGGGAGTGGCCATCGTGGATATGGTCAATAACAGCACCATACACCGAGGAGGAAAAATTATAAAAGAGGTGGGAACTTTTCCCTCGTAAATCCCACATCCATCTCTCAGTCCAACACCTCAGCGCAGGCGGGACGGGCTCCGGATGGTTCCGCGGCATTTCCCCGCCTCAGCCCCGGTGCCCCCGGTGCCTTCCCCCGCCTCAGCCCCGGTGCCCCCGGTGCCTTCCCCCGCCTCAGCCCCGGTGCCCCCGGTGCCTTCCCCCGCCTCAGCCCCGGTGCCCCCGGTGCCTTCCCCCGCCTCAGCCCCGGTGCCCCCGGTCCCTTCCCCCGCTGCCCTTCGCGGGACGGAAATCCCGTTCTTGATGCAGAAACAATTTCTACCGATTATTTCTACTTTTTCATTTCAGTTCCTAGCCCCGCTTTGTGGTATTGCGGTGCGGGCAATTCGCCCCCCGCCGTGTCTTTCCCACTCAGCCTCGAAAAACGCAGATAACTCCTAAAATAAACGTAGGGCACGGGAGAAGGGCGGCATCGAATCAGGGGCTGTTGGCGGTAAGGGAGGCGGGGGGTTTTGCAGGAAAGTTTGAAAACACCGGGGCGAATTTGCTTTGATTAAAAAATGATGAGAGCCCTTTCAAAGCGTGGTGATAAAGATGTGACAAAGGCAGACGAGTCTTTAGCACCCGTATCCACAGAACCTCGCTGCCCGCACGGGCGAGAGGTGGGTGCGGGCCGGGTGAAAGGTGAAAACTCTCCAGCGGCACAATTACAGCTTCCCCTTGTCTTTCTCTCCTTCTGTCCCGGCGCCTGGCCCTGGAAGAAAGCGAAGTTTAACTGGGATCCCGAAACGGTCGGCATGATCCACGGCTCTTTTTTCTGGGGGTACATCATCACGCAGATCCCCGGAGGGTACATCTCGTCCCGGCTGGCAGCGAACAGGTAAAACGCGAAGGTGCCGTGCGGGCCGGGCTCCGGGCGGCCGGGGCTCCGGGGTGGGTGAGCTCCGAGCGGCCGGGGCTCCGGGCCGGGCTCCGGGCGGCCGGGGCTCCGGGGTGGGTGAGCTCCGGGCTCCGGGCCGGGCTCCGGGGTGAGCTCCGGGCTCCGGCCTGGGCTCGGGGCTGAGCTCCGGGGTGAGCTCCGGGCCGAGCTCCGGGGTGAGCTCCGGGCCGAGCTCCGGGGTGAGCTCCGAGCTCCGGGCCGCCGGGGCTCTGGCCTGAGCTCCGGGCCGGGCTCCGGGGTGAGCTCCGGGCCGCCGGGGCTCTGGCCTGAGCTCCGGGCCGAGCTCCGGGGTGAGCTCCGAGCTCCGGGCCGCCGGGGCTCTGGCCTGAGCTCCGGGCCGGGCTCCGGGCCTGGGCTCCGGCCTGGGCTCCGCGCCCCTCGGCTCACCCCGCTGCCGGGCTCGGGAAGGGCAGGACTGCGATCCGGGAGCTCCGCTGGGCGGCTGTACTACTTACTGCTCCCCCTCCTTCCAGCAACCCCCCGGTTCTGCGGGGATATCGCATACTGGTTTCCTTTAGACACTCACTTAAGGCAACGATATTCAAACAACACGTATTCAGAGGCAAATTCAAAGATCCATTATTTCATCAAAGCTTGAGAGTTTTTTTTTTTTTCTCCCCTGTGACTGCATTATAGGATTTTATTATTTTTTGTTTTAATGAAAAGGAAAAGCGTCGGCAGGAATTTTTCATTAAAGCATAAATGAATTTAGAATGGTCGAAAAACATGCTTAAATGAGACTTCCACAATGAAAAGGAAGTGCAGATGGTCCAGGGACTTAAGGACTCGTTTCTATGGTGTCTGGCAGTTTCTCAAGCACCCAGGGTGCGATTCTACCTGTTAATTAGATCCACTGAGTATTCGAGACACATGAGGCTTTTGCATCCCTGCCTAATGCCACAGGCCCGTCGTTTGCAGAAGCAGCAAAGGTCCTAGTGCCACTCTTCAAACCGGCACGCACTGAGTGCAGATGGATGCTAAACTCAGCCACATACAGCTTTAACTCTTCTCAGGAGTGGGCAACATGAAAGGTGGGCCTGCATGGGCAGAGAAGCTCAGCCTAATGAGCAGGATGGTTTATGTGTGCTTGAGAGAGTGTGGCTAAAGCAAAAAATGGTCTCCTCAAATACCTTTTAGGCAGATCTGCAGTAGAAACGAGTATTTACAAACAGAGAGATGCTCTGTAATTGAGAAAATACTCATATCCTACCCTTAAAAACAAATGAATCAAACCACATAATTCTTAAACTGGGGTGTCCATTGCCTTTCTGTTTACAAGTGCCATCTTCCTGATAATGGTTCAGAAATGTAAAAGGCTTTTTCTATTAGCCATTAACAGCCATTTAAAGGATTATTTACCTTTTCTTCCTCCTTTAATAATTTTTGCATCTTTACACAGTCTGTAGCTACTCAGGATTAATTGGAGTTTTGGTTGAGTAAAGACTGCAGGATCTGACCCAGAGAATCAAAAGCTGTCTTCATTCACCCAAACATCAGAAAAGCCATTTGAACCAACTCAGATGTAAAGTGGTGCAACTACAAAGATTTGCAAGACAATGATGGGGACATTGCCAGGGAAAGTCAGTAGCAGAAGCACACGAGTTGTCATGTCAAATCAGATTTTTCTCTTCTTCACAAACATTTACATTTATGACAATAACTGAGGACTACTCCAGATAAGGTAGGTGTATTTTACCTAGTTAGGTGCTGTTCCTGAGGAAGCACTTCATGGCTCAGGTGTGTTGCATCATTCCCAGGCTTCTCACTGCCTATATTCTGTAGGGAACCCAGGCTTTTTGGGGTACCTGCCCCAAGGAGTGTGATGAAACACCTTCTTTTCTTTTTGTGGTTTTCACAACCAAGTCAGTGACTGTAACTGGACTAGTGACATTTTTTACACTGGGAGATGATGATTATCTGGCCAGAGTTTATGAACCTTTCAAAGATTCAGATACCATTGTGATACTGCTGAGACTTGCTGTGGTCTTCACATTTCACCAGTCATTTGGGGAATATGCATAAATGCTGATGAACTTGTGGGTACCAAGGGATCCAGTTGATCAGATGATCTATTAAACGTTTGGTTGACTGAATTCTGTTCAATATATGACACTTGAGTGCAAGGTAACATCAGGGAGGATATTATGAAAAGCAGTCTCACTGAGTGGGATCTTCAGCCATGTGGGACTAGAAAAACATCACAAGCTTCCAGCATGATGCTCTACTAAAGTAATCAGTGTAATCCTAGAATGTTTATTTTGCTTTATTTAGTGCAATGAGTGTATTTAAGTTAATGATGTTGGCCTTGGATTTTGTGGGTAATTTGGATGCATTCATATTAGTATGGGTGTTGAAAAATTGGAATTGCTCTAGAGATCTTGAATTGCTTCAAAAATGACAGTATAATGTGATGCCTAGTGAAAGAAACAGCAAGAACTATGTATTCAGGATACATGTGTATAAAAAGGTTACTAGGAGGTAATCTGATTGTGAGTATACATAACAATATCACTGAAAAAATTGCTTGGTATAAGTGTATGCCTTAGTCCTCTGGAAAGAGATGACAAGAATCAGCCATTGACAGCCATACCAATGAAAAAAAGCTTAAATAGTAACAATGATGACTACCCACCACTGGTCCAACCAGAGAAATTATGTTGCAGTCCTTTTCATTGGGTTTTTAATTCCTATAATGGAAGTTATGCTTTAGCTATTGTGAAATGTTTGCAGTAGAGGGACAATTAAGCAAAATACAAGGGATAAACAAGGGTTAAGGGCTGTTGCCATAGTGAATTTCAGGCTACATGGTCCTATAAGTAAGCACGTTTTGTTTATAATCTAGAAATTCAATAATTTAGTTCAAATTAATATTCCCCATTTCACATTCACGCTACTGCAGCTGTCTGTGAATAAACTGCCTGCTGTGCTGTCACACATGTTGGAAAGGTGTGAAACTGTACTCAGTTTTGTCACTTCATCTCAAGATAATTTGGGTATCATATTTTTAACTTCTGATACACCCTTTAGATATCCTTTATGTTGGAAATGTATAACAAACCCCTTGCCCTACCAAAAGCAGTAGTAAAATGCTGTGGCAGTATTTCCTAAGTGAACTGTTTAAACATTTACTGTAAATTAGGAAAGATTCTTTGAAATTAACAGGGTATTGTTAGATTATGCACTAGAGAATCAATTCCCAATGCAGTTATATATTTAAAATAGAAATGCCAGTTTTGATTGTATGTGTCAAGCATTTTTTCAAAAGTAAAAATCAGCAATAATCACAGACTATTTTTTATAAAACAAAGCTGAGTAACCATTTTAGCTCATTTGTGTATACTCAAACATTAGAACCTTCTGACACAAAGAGACCCAAGGGGCTGAATAGAATGCCAATTTTTTAAAAATTAAAATCACCTATAGTAATACCATATATTTCCTATTATCTGTCAAAGCTCAAATCCTGGCACTGTTCACATTAAAAAATGTAACTACATGACTATACTACATTTCTCTCTGTAATTATCTCTCATCTATGCTGAACTCTTAATCATTGTCATTCTAATCTGAATGAAATGATACAGATTAACATTTCCCTTCAAATTAATCTGTGTTTCTCAAGTGCCATTCTTCCTGTTATTAAAGGCTAAATCCTTTTTCCCAGCAAGTAATCTGATAGGATTATTTGTATGAATATAATGAATGGTATTTCAGACAACTGTCAGTTCCTCTTGTCTCAGAGTCCCACAGATTTTCACTGAAGCTGTCATTAGCATGTCAGTGAAACCAGAATCTCTCCAACTCAGCCTTAATGACAACAAGCAGAACAATTTAAGGTAAACTATTGGTTTAGAAACACAAATAGAAAGATGTTCAGAAGTCCAGGTCTTTACATTTTAATAAGAGAAATGGTTCCATTCTTTTACCAGGCAGGCATATTGTGCCTTTTCTGATTGGCAAACAATGATTAATTCACAGCATGAGCAGGGGATTAGTGGATGATTAAACAAGTGCCAACTTCTGAACTTCTGAGGACTTGAGCTGACCTTGCACTGTGAGGGGACCCCCAGAGCTGCCCTGCCACCCCCACCTTTCACATCCAGCCCCAAATCCTGCAGATTGAGCTGGGCTCTGCTCCCTGGCGCTGCCGTGGGGCTCATCTGCTTCCAGGCAAAGGAGCCAATATTGCACAAAATCCCCACGATGATTTTGTCACCCCACTGCTCTGCAGACTCTTTTAGTGCCGGCCTTTCCAAGAAGGGGACTGGGGGAACTGGTAGCTGGTGCTGCTGCTCCCTCTGCCATATGGTTCAGGGCCTTCCATTTCTCTGTCGTGAGTGATGAAGCTGTTTTCACAATTTAATGATGCAACAAGGGATTTAGGTGGGGGTTTTGCTCGATAAAAGGGGGCCTCAGATGTGTGACAAAAATTAATAATGTATCCAAGCCCTTATTATACCAGATTAGATGGCGGGAGGTCGGCTTTTACATATTAATGTTTCATGAAGGGCTTATAATGGGATTTAGTATGAAGAGCACAGAGACACATCCCCCTCCTCCCACATACACATATGAAGGAAAATAAGCTGCTTTATCTTGATTTAAGAAAGCCAAATAAAGCTGCTATACTGTGGCTTCTGGCCACGGACAGTTTTTAAAGAGCTTTGATTTTAAGCAATTCACCTGTGAAGCATGTTCAGCTTAGGGCTGGTGCTAGGGAATATGTGTTCATCTCTAATGGCAAAGGTAGATTATTCTCTCTGTTTTCTTGGGAGGCTGATTCATCAACCACTCCAATATTCATGGCACAATCCCAGTTTTGTTAGCCCTGTGCTGTTTTATGAAAATTAAAGGCCCAATTCAGGGAAAAAAAAAAAACAAAAACCACTACATTCTGTCTATCATTTAGGAAAACATAAATTGCCAGGGTGGGAATTTCA